CAGGTCAAGATCCCAGGGTCCTGGGATCGAGCCCCACATCGGGCTCCCTGCTCGGCGGGAAGCCTGCTTCTCCCCCTCCCACTGCCCCCCTTGTGTTCCCTCTCTCGCTGTGTCTCTCTCTGTCAAATAAATTAATTTTTAAAAATCTTTTAAAAAAAGAAATTCAATGTGGTATACACTGTCTGACTAATGTACGTCTGCTTGGAGTGCCTTAACATGTATAAACTCTTTGTTTCCAGGGAGACCATGTGTGCCCTCAGGGTCTGCACTTGTAATGCACGCATCCTTTCTATCAGGACCATCCTTTCTATCAGGATACTGCCTCAGCCTTGGAAGGTTTTCCGGTCAGCTTCAATTTACTGGCCAGAGCTGCCTCAGGCTAGGTAGGAAAAGATTAGTATAGAAACTTCAGATAGAGCTTTATGGCGAATGTGATTTGTTTTACCCAGCTGAATTCGGGACCCATGGAGGCATGACTGAGGTCAATACGCAAGTTCTGCGTATTCTACAGGCTCCTGATGATGCTAATTTTACTGTAAGGGCACCTGGCTGGCTCAGTGGGGAGAGCATGCGATTCTTGATCTCAAGGTTGAATTCAAGCCCCACACCGGGCGGTGGAGCCTACTTAAAAAAAAAAAAAAATGGGGCGCCTGGGTGGCTCAGTTGGTTAAGCATCTGCCTTCAGCTCAGGTCATGATCCCAGGGTCCTGGGATCAAGCCCCACATCAGGCTCCCTGCTCAGCAGGGAGTCCGTTTCTCCCTCTGCCCCCTGCTCATGCTCTCTCTCTCAAATAAATAAAAATTTTTTTTAATTTTTGTAAAAAAACAGAAAAAAATTTTTACTGTAAAGGCACTGTGGTCAAGGGGACCTACAGTACAGAAAAGAGTTACATAGCAGGTCTGAAGTTACTATCTTTAGAGGGGTCTGCTTGCAAGGTTGGCCCTTGGCTTACATGTGGGAATTTGGCATTTAATCATTCCCTGACTGATAAGACTGGTTTGCTATACCTAGACTGTACAAACAATGTGATTTATGATGAGCACTTGCTTTCCTTTTGGGAGTCTGGAATTTTTGTAGTTGCTAGGCAGAGGGTGCCTATGTGACTATCTCCTAATGAAGACCTTGGATGCAGAGTCTCTAATGGGCTTCCCTGGGCACAAACATCGCACATCTATTACTATATTTTTTACTGCTGGAGAAAGGAGCACAATTGATGTAGCCTCTCGTGTAAAAGAGAAAGCATAGGAAGACTGTATGTGGATTTCTCCAGACTCCACCTGTGTCTTCTCCCCTTGCTGATTCGGTTATGTATCCTATGGCTATAATAGGCCCTAGCCATGCATACATCTTTATGCTGAGTCCCATAAGTCCTTCCAGTAAGCTGCCAAATATGTGGGTGGTCTTGGGAGCCTCCAAAACATTTCCTTTTTCTTTAACTAGGCTCCACATGTGGAGCACAATGTAGGGCTTGAACTCATGACCCTGATATCAAGACCTGAGCTGAGATCAAGAGTCAGATGCTTAACTGACTGAGCCACCCAGGCACGCCATCTAAGAAACAGAAGTATACACATCATATGCCTATGAAAACGCTCTCAGACATCATGTATATGATAACCATTCCCTAAATTCTCTATTGTCAGCTTTAGAGAGTCACATTTAACTACCAAAACAAGAAGGATGTAGGGGATCTACGAAAATAATGTTCACTACCACCTTAATTATCCAGAATGACATCAGAAAAAAAAATGGGGGTGGAGTGGGGTAAACAGAACTATTTATGTCCATGGAAACCAAAAGGCATGAAATGAAAATAAGAGAAAGGGCCTTTAGCAGCAATCTCAAACCCATAAAACACAATGCTGGCCTAAGCAGAGAAAATTTTAATTGTTAAAAAAAAAGCAACATTGAACCAGATCTTTTATATGTCCAAATATCAAATCAGTTCCCTATATTTTTCTATGTTAACTGAATATTATGCAGCAATTATAGTAACTAGCCAGAGAGAAATTGCTTTCTGTTTAAATTTTCCATCAAAGTCACATTAACTTGATAGCTGCATCAAAATCAAAATGTGTCATCAGGAAAACACAATATAAAACTGATCCCACATTCTAGAAACCATGCAGTTAACAGTTGTTTCAATTCCTTTCTCAACACAGGCTTCTAATTCCAATAACATGAGTTTTGGAAGCACAAGATACATTCGTTTCTTAGGTCTTTACCTCAGCGCACAAATGGAAATAACACAGCAAAACTGTAGCTTCTGAACAGGTAATCAGGAGAATTATAAAGACCAAGAAAAGGAAGCCAAACATGAAGTACATCTGATGAGACCTGAAAATAAAAATGACAGCTTTAAAATTAACTTCACAGTACAAAGAAAGCCCAATCCAAATCCATACAAGAGACGGCCACACTTCTCGAACCTTAGCAACTCATTCCAAACCTTTATCTATCCACCCAGTATCCAAAAGATATTCCCTGACCTGTGCGGCTTCAGAGTTCTGCCTGATCTTGTCCAGGTCGTATCTGTGTGGCTACTTACCCATAATTCTCTGCTCACGTCATTCAGTATTCAGTTGAGACCCATCAGTATCTCTGTCATTTTCTTTATGCACATTTTAAACCTTGCTTTCTTTTTAGCAACAGAAGGTTGTAAGTGCAAAAATACCAGCGACTACATTATATAACACAAAACCACAGAATCAAATACTGCTTTGCCTTTGAAGCTCTATTGACAGGCAGCCTCCCCCAATAGGTCTTGATAGCACAGCACACAAAATTCTATCAAATATACTTTCAGACGTGCATCTTCTTAAAGCTGTGTGTGGATTACATTTCTGCCAGACTTTGGAGGAACAAAGTCATTTCTTTCATTATTACGGAGCTGAGCTGACTAAATTGGGAGGAGCAATTTTAAAAGCCTCCTAAAGAAAAGAAACTGAGGAACCAATCGATACTCCGTTTTAAAATCTCTTGCAGAATGTATCCCTGGGCACAAGAGCGAGGGCCGGGGCTTGGGGAAAATCATCTCTGTAGATAATGAACATATACAAAGTTGCATACAGCAAGCACACTCTGTTTCATTGAAATAAAACTTGTCTGAAGACTCTTCTAGTTTTCACTTGAAAATTATTTTCCCATCAAAAACATCTGGAAAATGCAGTTACTGTAATCTATTTTGCAGCAGGTTAAATATTTAGTTGCTGACAAGGGAACAGATTTTATTGCTTATCTTTTAAACAAATTTGACACAATGCTGTTTAAAAGGTGAGCAATTAATGTGCATGAGTAAGCCTAACTTTTGAGGACTTGAAAGCTGTGTCTGAAAGACTGCTTTAGGACAAAAGCATTCTAAACACACACAGCTGGCTACTGCATTGAATTTTATGGGGACTTTGCCCCATCTCCAAAACTCCCTCTGCAGCACCACCCCACTCGACTCGCTCCTGAAACCAGAATGCAGTCAAGAATCAGGAATTAAGAAAAAAAAGGGACTTGGAGAAGCTGAAACTGTCGAACTTGCATCAGAGAGCACGGGTTCTTACTTTACATATCAGAATTCTTTTTTTTTTTTTTTACATATCAGAATTCTTAAATCACGACAGTTTCAAAGTAACAAATAGAAAGAGGAACCCTGTAAGGAGCAGGCATCCTGACAACAGAGCTAACAGCTGACAGACAGGAGAGCAGAAAAACATTACTTACAGCTCAGTACAGATGAAGACCCAGAGTCAGTGGTCTTCAAAGTATTTTTAGCAGAGGAACTCTGAAATCTTGCATGGAAGGTCAGTACAGAAAAGAGAGACACATCAGGGCCGCCTCTTCCCATCTTTAGGCGCCTCCTTCCAGGGGACACCCCTGCCCCACCCCCTGCAAAGGCTCAGAGAAGTACAGTGTGAGCCAACTTTCTAAGTCATCTGGAAAGGCTTAAAAAGAGGTTATTACTTTTTAAAAAGGAAACCTGCATAGAAATTTCCATCAAAAAGTGTCTTGAAAAACTTGTGAATTAAGTCGAAGTTCCCTAGGAAATTCCCCTGGGATCAGATTGCCATTTCCTGGATTAAAAAGCGGGGGGGGGGGGGTGGCAAATGAAGTTTTACCATACCAGAATTTAACCTCCTTGAAATACAGGAAAATTAAGTGATCAACAATTAAGATTTTTTTTTGAGATTATGAAAATCCAATACTCACCAAATACTGTTCAGAATGAAAAAGAGTTGAATAAAAATACAGCCAAAAGGTAAAATTCCACCGATTATGACGCCAAAAAGTGGTTTGGTACAGAAATTCTGCTGAGGAATATGACGGGGAATCTGGTTTGTGTGAACTGGACACTTAAACTGCTCGAAAAGAAATCAAGTGAAAATCAGAATGAATGAAATTGAAGTGAATTTATATACATATAATCACAACACAGAATCCTGAATCAGAACAGGACATGGAACACTTCCAAGAGCAGTCATGTGGGCAGAGCCTAGACCACTGTGTGATAGAAATATAATGCAAGCCATATATGCAGTTTTAAAGCTTTTAGAAGCTGCATTTTAAAAAGTGAAAAGAAATAGGCAACATCAGGGCACCTGGGTGGCTCAGTCACTTAAGCATCTGCCTTCAGCTCAGGTCATGATCCCTGGGTCTTAGGATCGAGCCCCGCATCAGGTTCCCTGCTCAGTATACCCGCCCCCTACCCTGCTCATGCTCTCTCTCGCTATCTCAGAAAAATAAATTAAAAAATTTTAAAAACAAATAGGCAGAAGCAATTTACGAATACATTTCATTTCATCTAACATCTCCAAATATTTATATTGAAAGTACTAAATAGATGTTTCATATTTTGTTGTTCTGTTTGAAATTCACTATATATTTTACACTTCCTTACAACACTTACCAATTTGGAACTAGCCACATTTCAAGCACTCAGAAGTCACATGTGGCTGGTGACCACCATACTAGAGAGCACACAGCTAGATAATAAGGATGTTTATCCTTTCCTATCAGTTCCGAGGGAGAGATTAGACAAGATTTAGTGGTGATTATTCCAATATGAAGTAATCGATGTCAAAAAGTCCTCTCAGAATGTGTAGAAAACCTGAAAGACTCCACCAAAAAATTGCTAGAATACATGAATTCAGCAAAGTTGCAGGATATAAAATCAACACACAGAAATCAGTTGCATTTCTATATACCCATAATGAAGCAGCAGAAAAAGAAATCAAAGAATCAATCCCATTTACAATTGCACCAAAAACAATGAGATACCTAGGAATAAACTTAACCAAAGAGCTCTACTCTGAAAACTATAGAACGCTTACGAAAGAAATTGAAGAGGACACAAAGAAATGGAAAAACATTCCATGTTCACGGATTGGAAGAACACTGTTAAAATGTCTATACCACCCAAAGCAATCTACACTATCAAATGCAATTCCTAATCGAAAATGCAATCCCTATCAAAATGCCAACACATTTTTCACAGAGCTAGAACAAACAATCCTAAAATCTGTATGGAACCACAAAAGACCCCGAATAGCCAAAGCAATCCTGAAAAAGAAAAGCAAAGCTGGGGGCATCACATTGCCCGATTTCAAGCTATATTACAAAGCTGTAGTCATCAAGACAGTATGGTACTGGCACAAAAACAGACACACAGATCAATGGAACAGAATAGAGAACCCAGACCCACAACTATATGGTCAACTAATCCTCAACAAAGCAGGAAAGAATATCCAATGGGAAAAAAGTCTCTTCAACAAATGGTGTTGGGAAGACTGGATGGCAACATGCAAAAGAATGAACCTGGACCACTTTCTAACACCATACACAAAAAATAGATTCCCAAAATGGATGAAAGACCTAAATGTGAGACAAGAATCCATCAAAATCCTTGAGGAGAACACAGGCAGCAAACTCTTAGCTCAGCCATAGCAACTTCTTCCATGTTGCTGGAGGCAAGGGAAACAAAAGCAAAAATAAACTATTGAGATTTCATCAAGATAAAAAGCTTCTGCACAGCAAAGAAAACCACAAAACTAAAAGGCAGCTTGCAGAATGGCAGAAGAGATTTGCAAATGTCATAGCTGATAAAGGGCTAGTATCCAAAATCTATAAAGTTCATCGAACTTAACATCCAAAAAACAAATAATCCAGTCAAGAAATGGGCAGAAGACATGAACATTTTTCCAAAGAAGACATCCAGATGGCTAACAGACACATGAAAAGATGCTCAACATCACTCATCATCAGGGAAATACAAATCAAAACTGCAGTGAGATACCACCTCATACTGGTCAGAATGGCTAAAATTAACAACACAGGAAACAGCAGGTGTTGGCGAAGATGTGGAGAAAGGGGAACCCTCCTACACTGTTGGTAGGAATGCAAACTGGTGCAGCCACTCTGGAAAACAGTATGGAGGTTCCCCAAACAGTTAAAAATGGAACTACCCTACAACCCAGCAATTACACTACTAGGTATTTACCCAAAGGATACAAAAATACAGATTCAAAGGGGCACCCACACCCCAGTGTTTATAGCACAACGTCCACAATAGCCAACATACGGAGAAAGCCCAAATGCCCATCAGCAGATGAATGGATAAAGATATCATATGAACTACATATATATAGATAGATAGATAGATATGTAGTTATATATATATATAACTATATATACATATATATGCTATAAATATACAACATATATAACATATGTTATATAATATACATATATATGTGTGTGTATATATATACACATGAACTACTATACACACACACACAATGGAATATTGCTCAGCCATCAAAAAGAATGAAATCTTGCCATATGCAACCACATGGGCAGAGCTAGAGTGTATTATGCTAAGCAAAATAAGTCAGTCAGAGAAAGACAAATACCATATCTCACTCATAGGTGGAATTTAAGAAACAAAACAGATGAACATAGGGGAAGGGAAAAAAAGAGAGAGGGAAGCAAACCGTGAGACTCCTAACACTAGAGAACAAACTGAGGGCTGCTGGAGGGAGGCGGGTGGGGGAAGGGCTAGATGGGGGATGGGCATTAAGGAGGGCACTTGTGATGAGCACTGGGTGTTGTATGTAAGTGATGAATCACTAAATTCTACTCCTGAAACCAATATTAAACTATATGTTAACTAACTAGAATTTAAATAAAATTTGGGGGGAAAAAAAGAATTTCTCTTAAAATGTGTATTTTTCAGACATTTTTCTTTTTCCTGCTCTGTGTGGAACTCCAGCTCCTGTTTTGTCTTATCTTATTTCTTTCCTGCAAACTCACACTATATCTTTATACAATCCTTTTGCAGTATGGCCTCATTTAGTCTTTTTGATATCCTGCTCCTTTACACTATGCATGGAATAGGCTAACTTCAGATCTATAAACTGCACAGCTCCATTTTTCAGACTGTATCTTTGCTTTCTTCCCCCACTGTATAATCTTATTACTTTTCTGACTTTGTTAAAGTCAGCCTTTTGACAATATGTCCCTTTAATTTCATCCAACAGAGATAGACAGAAATATAAACAACCTATAAAGTGGGAAGTACATTAAATAGCATCTTTTGAAGTATTACTGTGTTTCATTTTTAAAAATTTTTTTAAATCTTTTATTCCAAAATGATTATCCTTTGTAGTTTTTGCCAATGGTACATTTCGCATTCCATATATAGTAATATACATATTGAGGTATTATTTCAGACATTAGTCAGTGGCCAAAAGCAGTATTTTACAAATTTACCTTTTTCTTGCTTCCAAAGTATGCACCCAAAAATGTTAATGGTACTGAAATTCCAAACCACATCGCAAGGATACCTATCAGGGTACCAAAGGAGATTGCAGCCGATGACCCTTCCACCCAAAGAATCAGGTTCATAAAGAAAAGGTCGACAAAGACGACACTAGGGAGAAAAGAACATCATCAGGAAACAATATGCTTTCAGGAAAATGTTATAATCATACTTGATGTGAATGTCAGAACATTCTTTTGTGGGAAGGATATAATAAATGACAAGGCTAAACCCTAGAATATTAAGTCTCACTGTGGAAACCCAGCCACTGAGCTGGGGCTTAAACCCAATACCATATAATAAGGCAGCAGTCTATTATAAGACATCATTTCTACATCCTACTCATCTTTGCACCTCCAGAGTCTAGCAGAAAATAAGTAAGGTGTGGAGTAATATACCATGGAAAAACTCAATGTGCAATATAGTGAACACAATTAAGAACATGCATATACTGAGGGGCACCTGGGTGGCTCAGTTAGTTAAGCGACTGCCTTCGGCTCAGGTCATGATCCTGGAGTCCCTGGATCGAGTCCCGCATCGGGCTCCCTGCTTGGCAGGGAGTCTGCTTCGCCCTCTGACCCTCCCCCCTCTCATGTGCTCTCTCTCTCTCTCATTCTCTCTCTCTCAAATAAATAAATCTTTTTAAAAAAATGCATATACTGAAAAGAGAATTCCAGACTGAAATGGGCTATGAGTCTCAAGTCCAACAAGTGTTCACTTAACACAAGAGCTTTAAATCAGTCACTGGATAAATCACCAGGCAAGCCCAGCTATTGTGCCCCTATTAGTTCCAGACAAGCTTGGTCAAAGCTACAGGTGAATGTGGGTATGGGTATGGATGTGAGTGTTTCTGAAAGCCTAAAAATGAGGGTGAAGGGGTGGGCAGAGGCTAGATTGTGAAAGGCCTTGAATGTCGGGGTAAGGAAGGTAGACTTGCTCCTGGCAGCATCAGGAAGCAGCTGAAGGGGTTTTACACTCAAAGCTCTGGGGTACACAGTGCAGCCTTCCAGGCAGATGAGTCTGCAGCATGGCAAAGGACAGCCCTAAGGGAAGAGAAACTAGAGACAAGGAGACCAGATACAAAGTGGTACGAATCTGTATAAGGTGGTGATGGTTAAAATGTAAATGATGTATATAAAAGACATGAAGCACTGAGAGACTTTTGGTTAAAGATGGCAGATTGAAATCACACATTTAGTTCTGCCGCCTCCTCAAAACTCCAATAAAATGATAGTAAAGGAACTTTAAAAAGGCACAAATACACAAGAATGGGGGATACAGGAGAGAAGACATTAGCAACAAATTTTGGAAAGCAAACAGCAGATGGACAAGTAGTAACTGAGTTAGTACAGCTGGGAAACCTGTATCCCAAGTCATCTGTAGGAAAAGCCGAGAGGCCACTCAGGTTATACCACAGAACTCCAGAAAAGGTTCAGGGATATGTAGCGCCAGGTACCCCTGTGAGTGGGAGGGAAGGAGTGGCCAAAACCAGGACTGGTTGAAAGTCAGCCCAAGACACTCACAGACCTACAGATTCCCTCCCCTGCACCGCAGAGCCAAGACCTTCCCTTCCCAACTCCAGCAGAAGACTGGAGGGTCTAGCCTCTTAGAGAAGGTCCCTGCAGCTCAGAAGAAAACTCTAGAAAGGAAAATCTATGATTGACATCCACGAAGAGATTAGAAGAGCCACTGCAGCCATGAAGCAAGATGACACTTTAAGGACTGGTGAGAAATAAAAGAGCTCTTTGGAATTAGAAATATGACAAGGGGAATGAGAACCTCAGTAAAAGGGTTAGAACATAAAGCTAATGGTATGTCTTAGAAAGCAGCTTGAGGAGGAAGAGGGGGAGGAGAAGAAATGAAAACACCCTAAGTGCCCATTGAAACATGAGTGGTGTATATATACGCTGGACTATTATTCAGCCTAAAAATGGAGGGAATCCTACCATTTGCGACAACATGGGTAGACTTTGAAGACATTATGTTAACTGAAATAAGAGAAAGACAAATACCATATGATCTCACTTACACAGGGAATCCAAAGCAAAAACAAAAGCAACCCAAACTCGGGGCGCCTGGGTGGCTCAGTCGGTTTAGCATCTGACTCTTGGTTTCCGCTCGGGTCGTGATCTCAGGGTCATGAGATCGAGCCCCGTGCTGGGCTCTGCGCTCAGTGGCAAGTCTGCTCAGGATTCTCTTCCTCTCCCTCTGCCCATACCCTGCTCGCTCTCTTTCTCTCTCAAATAAATAAATAAATCTTAAAAAAAAAAAAAAAAAGGCAAACCAAACTCATAGAAAAAGAAATCAGACTTGTGGCTAACTGGGGCCAGGGTGGGGGGAAGAAGGTGGTCAAAAGGTACATACAAAGGACGTAATGTACAACATGATGGCTTCCGCTAACGCTGCTGCGTGGTAGATAGAGACGGAAGTTAAGAGTGTAAATCCTAAGAGTTCTCATCATAAGGAGAGTTTTTCTTCCTTTTTCTTCTTTATTTGCCTTTTATTGTAGCTATAGGAGATGACAGATGTGAGCTGAACCTATTGTGGTCATCAGTGCACAGTATATGTAAATTGAACCATCATGCTGTATGCCTTAAACTTATACAGTGATGGATGTCAATTAGTTCCCAATAAAACTGGAGGAAAAAAGAAAAAATTGAATAGGTCAAAAAGAAAGAAAGAAAAATTAGATGAACAACCCAGGCACATGAGAAATAGGAGTCACTTGAATAGACAGAGTTCTTCATGTCTTTTAGGGGTATTAGGTAATTTGCTCAGGGTCAGACAGCGGATAAGAGGCAGAGCTGGGATTCTAATTCAGATGTGTGTGATTCTTCACGAGCAAGCTGTTTCCATGCCACCGTGCCATCCTAAGGCCTCTATGGTGGGAACCCACCCTGCCAATCAGGTCTATCTTCTCTTCCCCCAGACATTTTGTCAAAGACCAGAGAGAGGGAATGTGGCATCAGCCACATCATGACGCACCAGCTAAGACTCTGGTTAATTCTTTAGTTGGAAGTTCTCTCAAGGTCCATTCCAATTCTAGGATATAATGCTGCCTTCCTATCTGCCACCTTTCTCCAATTTCTTATTCAAGATCATTTTTTTTGGATGTTCCTCATCTCTCATTATAAACCAACTTCAGCCATTTCTTCCTTCATGTTACTATTTCTGCTACACCCTCCCCACTGTGTGTACAATCTCTTCTCCCTACTAAAACCTATGTCAGTAGGTACCTCTATTGTGCTTTTTGAAGGCTCACACATGCTCCTGCCAGAGACGTGGTTTGAAGCTCTTTCAAACAACAATAAATGCAACAACAGTAAACCTCCACCTTAGGTCTCATTAGTTTCTGGCATCTTAATAAGGGAATCTGGTTTCCTATGATTTAACCATACTTCTTCAAATGTTTCTTAATACCTTTCTGCTCTAATGAATTTGTTCAGCCACAATATTCCTCTGCCAAATTTCCTAGCTTTTGAGAGATTCATTTCAGCTGTTATCATTCCATGGCCAGAAAAATTATTTCTCACTTGACAAATCATAACCTCCCTTCTTATACATAAACTCAATTAACCCGTCTCAACAATTTCCCTTTTGAAAGTACACTCTAGAATGTTAATATGTGTTTAACAATTCTGTAACTGCCCTTCAGTTTCAAGTTTTTATATTCTAAATAGTTCTTCCTTTGTTGATCTCTAATTATTTCTAGACCTTTTCATGGAATCTTAAACAGCAAAACTAAAAGGAAACTTAAGAGGTCATCTGGGTTCATCTCCTACCTGAAACATTTATTCACAAATTCATCAAACATTTATTGAGTACCTATGTGTTAGGCCCTGGTGTTCAAAGATAAGTAAGAACCCTTGCTCTGAAAAGCTCAGTCTAGTGGGGGACAGAGATAAACAAATAAATTACAAAAGAACATGGGAAATACTATAGCAGATGATACACACAGAGCAGTAGGAATACAGAACAAAAGAGTAATCAAAAGTAGTACGTTATAGCTCACAAAATAATTTCACAATCCATTAGTTCATTTATTTCTCTAAACGACTCTGTGACACAGGCATTACCCGGCAAGGAAATGGACAATCAGGAAGGTTACAGGAATTTCCCCCAAAGTCACTTACCTAATACCGAGAGCCTAATAGTAAGTGCTGGAATTCAGACTTGCTTCTCTCTAATTGTAAAGTTTGGGTACATGCCCATCAAACTAGGCTACCTCTGCCTTTTCCTACCTACCACTTTTGGGGTTACATGAAGGAAAAGTATATGGTTTAATAATCTTACTTTCTTCAATTTCTTTTAGAGAACATCTATGTTCATTAACCTAAATGCTTTTTCTTTTAAATTTAAAGCCATTTTTACACTGCCCATTTATGGCACCACATGAGCTACTCACACATTGATATACCATGAGGCACTGAACTTCTCTTTCCAACCTACTACGTTCTAAGAAATAAGAATGCCAGTACCTTACAATTCTCTCTCCCATCTACCTAAAGGAGCCCCTAAACCACTCGAGGGAAGTATGTCCTTCGTATCATGCCTGGTTTACTGCTTTAAAATTGCATTCAATTCTACTAACAGAACTAGGAAAACGAATCTATTTTGCATTTTTAAATTATTCACTTGATTCAATCATACAGTAGATATTTACTGAGCGCTTACTCCATAGAAGGCACTTATACTCCATATAGGGCACTTGGTTACAAGCTGTGAGAGATACAGAAATGAATAAGACATAGTACTCACCCTCATGAGTTTTAGAATGCACAATAAGGCATATCACAAATAACTCCAATCTAAGGAACACTGTGATAAGTGTTATAATAATGATAATAGACACTATAAAATTCCAGAACATGGAAGTGGTAGCATTTGAGCTGGGACATAAGAAAGAATAGAAATTTGGCATTGGAGGATTGGAAAGAAGTGATTACAAAAAGGTGGAACAGCATGAGCAAAGGCATGACAGCAGAAGAGTAGCTGATAACCACAGCTACCATTTATTGAGCACTCAGTATATGCTAGGCACTCTTTCAAATCCATTACACACATTATCCCATTTAATCCTCACAGCAACCATGAGGTAGATAATACCATGATTTGCATTCTACAGATGAGGAAAGCCAAGATTAGAGAGGTAAAACCACTTGCCCAACATCCCATGATTAGTAAATATTAGTTGAAGATCTTTTTTGCCTAATTTAAAAGACAACTGCATAATGCGATCATTATAAATCTGTGTTGACAAGCATGCGAAGTATTAAGATGTAATCTGTATGGCAACAGCAGCTCAAAGAAGGAAGGAGGGAAAGGAGCTACATAGGAGCAAAGTTTTTGTATAATACTGAAATTAAGTTGGAATTAATCCAAATCAAATTAGTATACATTGATTAATTTAATTGTAATCTGTAAGGTAACCACTAAGAAAATAACTCAAAAAAAATAATAGAAGAAATGACAAGGGAATAAAAATGGTGCCGTAGAAAATATCTATTTAATGCAATAGAAGGCAAAAATCTCAAAGAGATGCCCGAACCCCTATGTTCATTCAGCATTATTCACAACTTGCTCAAGGCCTGGTAACTAGAAGGAGGCAGAACTGGGAAATGAACTGCTATGTGTGTGCAGAGTATAGGGTATGTGTGCATGGGAGCACGCGTGCGTGCGTGTGTGTGTGTGTGTGTGTGTGTGTGTGTGTGTGCCTCTAAAGCCTGTGTTAGGGGCGCCTGGGTGGCTCAGTCGTTAGGCGTCTGCCTTCGGCTCAGGCCATGATCCCGGGGTCCTGGGATCGAGTCCCGCGTCGGGCTCTCTGCTCCGTGGGAAGCCTGCTTCTCCCTCTCCCACTTGCCCTGCTTGTGTTCCCTCTCTCGCTGTGTCTCTCTCTGTCAAATAAATAAATAAAATCTTTAAAAAAAATAAATAAAAAAATAAAGCCTGTGCTAGTAGCTTCTATCACTACCTCTCCACTTTAATATATGGTTATGAGTTGCTGTTATTGTTGTTTATAATGAAATTATTTAAAAATAGGTGGGGCGCCTCGGTGGGTCAGTCAGTTAAGCATCTCTTGATATCAACTCAGGTCTTGATCTCAGGGTGTGGAACTTAAAAATAATAAAAGTAATAAAATAAAAATAGGTAACACATGCATATGGTATATGATGCAAAAAGTTAAAAAAAAGAGTGAAAAGTAAGTCTGATATAAATAGTCTCCTTCACTCTTCTGTCCCCCAGCCACCCAAAAACCCACCCTGGACACAACCACCATTATTTAAATTTGCTTTTCAAATTTAAATTTTTTTTTTTTACTTTTACAAAACTGTGGCTTGACACTGCATCATTTCATAGTCCATGTAAACCTGAGCCATGTTATTATGGATTTCTACTCAAATTTTTAAATTTTTCTGTGTAAAACATTCTTCAAAATTGATCCCATAGAAAACATGATGAAAACCGCTCATAGTGCACTGCAAATGCTAATGCTTTTCAGACATTAATTGCTTAATTTGTCTAATCAAGCTTAGTGATATGGTATATTCTAATTCTTTTACATCTTCTATTTCAATGATGTAACTTATTATTGCAGTAAGATGGAACATCTGTGTGATGAAAAATGGGCCATTATTATTCATCTTGAGCCACGAAGGCAAAGATTCAGGGGCAATTTTTATTTCTTTCTTCTATAGTGCCTCACATAATGCCTTAAATATGGTAAAAACAAAAACAAAACAAAACCAAAAAGACCACAATAAGTATGTTGAATGAGTAACTAAATAATGCAGAGAATAGTGAATGGCTTATAGACTGGCTCTTGCATGTAATATCCCTTGTATTACAATCCAGTATAATGACTTTTGCACAATGGCACTTCGTTGCCAAATTTATTGTTTTGGATTCATTTGAGTCTTGAACTTGAAGCAACAAATATCTGAAGTATTGTCAAGGACGTCGCTTTCTTACAGAAATGTAATAAAGCATTCACCTCAGAAAAGACCACCCATTCAAGTTCCCTTGAAAAGAGTTATAGGAAAAGCAGATGGCTCTATTCAAGGTGGGGAAGGGGAGGGGTGTGCACGTCCTTATTTTAAATAAGTCAAAAATTCTGAGGTTCCTGTATTTGATGTGCAAACTTGTAATGTTCAATCCTTTCAATGATCTAATCTTTTTCCCTGGAGTTTTGAGGGAAACCAGCCACATGGAGATGAATGATTATGGGTCTACAGAACCTATCACTGCATTGCATGATTTATTGCATGACACACAGTCACAGAGCATTATTAAAGCATTTGCTCTCACTTTGTCACTAATCAGAATATAACACAACTGAATTTACTATGTATAACTTTCACTATAGGACCTCTTCCACTATTGCAACATACTCGTAGCATCACGGATGTGGGAACTTTGTAACAAATAGGAATTAAAGTACCACATGACAATTAAGATATAATCCACTACTTTTCCTTTAAAAAAACTGTCCTTTATAACATATCAAGGAAAGAATATTAGAAATGAAACGTGTTATGAACTACATTGTGTCCCCCCATTCATATGTTGAAGCCCTAATCCATTATGTAATGGTATTTGGAGGTGAGGCCTTTGGAAGGTGATTAAGCTTAGATGAGGTCAGGAGAGTAGGGCCCTCATGATGAGATCGGTACCTTTCTGAGAAGGGACACGAGAGTTCACCATCTCTGCCTGCCATGTGAGGAAACAGTAAGAAGGCAGTTATCTGCAAGCCAGGAAGACAGCTCTCACCAGGACCCAACCATGTTGGTGCCCTGATCTCCGACATCCCTGCCTCCAGAACTGTGAGAAATCAAATTTCTATTGTTTAAGCATCCCCCACCCCAGTCTATGGTATTTTGTTATGGTAGCCCAGGCTAACTAAGGAGACGAAACCCAAAGTCCCAGGCGCCCAGGTGGCTGGCTCAGTTTGTTAAACGTCTGCCTTCATTCAGCTCAGGTCATGATCCCAGGGTCCTGAGACTGAGTCCCGTGTGGGGCTCTCTGCTCATCGGGGAGCCTGCTTCTCCCCCTACCCCTCCTCCCACTCGTTCTCTCTCTCTCTAATAAATAAAATCTTTAAAAAAAAAAAAAAATTCCAACAAAATCTCAAAAAAAAAAAAAAGAAAGAAAGAAACCCAAAGTGAGTCAGCACTTCATCAGTGAGGTTCTGTGGGAAGAGCCCTGGACAGGATGCAGGGGGGACATTCAGTTATGTATAGCCTGGGCTCTGTCACCGACTTCCCGTGTGACCTGAACACTTGCTCCCTGGCTTGGCCGCCAACCCCACATCTCTATAATGAGGGGGCGGAGGGAGCTACTGGCCCACCACAGCGCAGCCCCGCCCACTCCCACGTGGACCATGACTCTACCTGGGAGCTGGAGTCATGAATGACACCTCAGGACCTAGGGGAGACAGGAAGAAAGGATCCCGGAAGCCAGTGACAAGGGCAACAACACAAGGTAGAGCGGAAATTGCCATTCTAACATGATCTATAACGCAAGCTATATAACCGAGATGCGCATTTATGAAATCTGCTTCCAAACCAAAGATCAAAATCGAATACAGCGGCACCACGGCTGTCTCTTTGTACTAGAGGTTACGATGTACAAAAAGATGAAAGGAATGCAGATACCACACAGAGAGAATGCTGGCGCTACAGAAAACACAGTGGTAGCTCATCTCCTTTCTACTCCTCATTATCGGGTACAGTGATTTTGTTTTCTAAGAGGAAGTCTAAGAAAGAGTATAATTGTGTAGAGAAAAGAGAACGAGCAATACTAACCCAGGACATAATAGTGCTGTCAGCAAAAAATTTGTCTTCCAGTTAACACCTTTAAGTGCTGAAGAAGGAAAAGACAGAAATAGTTACTGTAGCAACTTATTTAGTCCACTTCTCAACTACTTTATACCCAGGGCCCAATTACATTTTGATAGGCCAGCTAAAATGCCCCATGCAATTTTTAAATGTTTTCTTTTACTGCCTCTTAATGTCTACATTTAACACACCAACTAACTGGAATGATAACAGTTGCAATGCTTACTCTTATACATTCTAGCCGACACATATCCAGCAGGGGTTCCCAGGAGGACCCATAACACAATGGCACAGGTCATCAAGGCCCCTCGATTGGCAGGGGAAAGAAAACCAAAGCACGCCAGAACTAAAGGTACAAAAAAGAAATATCAAAGCAGTGACAATAACAGCCCCAGAAGCATGCAAGACTTTATAATAAATTAAAGACCTGCTTATTAAGACACATTATGTGTAACAGCACACGAGGAAATTCTGTGGTGTGAGTACTTAAGTGACACTGTGAATGACTGTTATTCACTTAGCTAATGACAATTTTTTCTTAACGAAAAGGTGTGATTTTCAATACTGGGCACATGAAGTCAGTTTCCAAGTGGGGTCTAGTCTTTAATCTCACTGCTTAAATCAAAATTAAGCAAACTAAATCCCCCTTCCCTACTCCTGGATCACGCCCTAAACAGCAACTCATTTTTCCCCACAAAAATGTCCTTCTGCTTCCCTTTATTCAAGGTGAGGAATAAAAAAATCAAAGCAAGACTTGGTCTCAGGAAAATATAACCTTGAGAGCTGAATTTTGAAATTATCACTGACATGTGAAACACCTAATAAGCCTTCCTCTTTTTTTTTTTTTTTTTTATACAGCAGCTTTGTTTACGAAAATCAACACTCTGGCTATCAAAAATTGACAAGCTCCATTTTCACTTTATAAATGAAGGCAGCCAGGGTTTATCAGCTATTGAAAGACTACTAAAGATGCCATTGTGTTTACACATTTAAAGACCAGCGCCTAGGCTTGCCATAGCATTTCAAAATGCTAGTCATTAATTATGAATTCCCTTAGTCCACGTTAAATATGCTTCTACCCACACACTGATTTTCAAGAAAGCACCTATTTTGCAAAGCGAGGAATATATGTATTGGACATTACAATAAATTATTCAGAACTGAAGAAGCCATGAAAGGTCCTTGACATAGGAACGTGTTCAGACTCCTCTCCTTAATTTGAGAAGATGGAAATGTAAGTACTAGAAAACATACATTTTCTTAAACTTCAGGGTACTTTCAAAGTCCTTTTGTGAGCACATGGATCAAAATTTAACATAGGTCAGCAGTTGACTAAGAATGTTTAAGATGACACCTATTGATCTGAGCCTACTCACATAAGGTAATAAACGTCATAATCAAAACTTGTGTTCCTTGACCCAGGAAAGCTGAGAGCAGAATTCTATTCCTTGGAGGTCTGAATACATCCCCATGAATCAGCTTCCAACCGAAGTCCTCCTGGACCTCTTCCTGCACATGAGAAAGTCTTTGGTAAACACACACTATGACAGAAAGTTACCGAAACTCTGAAAGGTAGACGAAAATGAATTTTACTCGAAAGACAGATTAACTGGAAACCAATAGCTCATTTTGGATACAGCGGGTCTCTGGAAGGTATGTGATCCTGCCGTAAAATAAGTTGCTCCCTTACTCCAAGGTTTGCATTGGGGGGAATGTGTTCATCATATAGGGCACACACCTGGCTTAATTTCATGAAGAAAGCAAAATCATTTGACATACAGAAGGAATTCAACCAATTTTATAGACATTTAAAATTCACCAATACACAAATGACTATAAGAGTCAAAATGTATAAATGAGATAAAACTAAACTTAACCTAAATGATAGCATTTTGCAATGTTTGGTACATTTATCTCATGCTCCAAATTAATGAAAACCTTAATATCCTGAAAGTTCAGAAACATATAAAAAGGAATAGAACCAGAGTTGATAACAAATACTTCTCTAATAAACTACTTGTACTTTTTAAAAATCTACACAACTCCCTAACTTCTGATTTGGTATAATGGGCAAAACGACTAGACATTGAAAGTCTGCTGTATTCAAGGTATTATATACTCTAAGTACAAATATAACATTGACAACTGGGCAGCAGAGGCATTCAAATATGTGCTGAATCAAATATGTGCATTTTTACTTACAGAAAAATTCGTCTGATTGTATCTGATAATATCTCTATGGAGAGTTCTTAATAGAATCATAGCCACCATCCCAGACAAGAAGAGAGCGATAACAAAGGAATTCATAATACTAGAAAATTTAAGGAAGAAAAAAAGAGAGAGAAGTTAAATCTCAAGCTCCTTATTTGAACAGTGAAAAGAAAATGTGTGTATGTATAAAAGAAAGACATGCAAATTATCATTGTGTTGATCAGTTTTCCAAGGTTAAACTTAGATCAAATGCTGAATACATCAATATATTAAATGAACTTAAAGCTCTACCACAAAAAGTGCATTACAAATAAAGCAATAGAGGGCGCCTGGGTGGCTCAGTTGGTTAAGCGACTGCCTTCGGCTCAGGTCATGATCCTGGAGTCCTGGGATCGAGTCCCACATCGGGCTCCCTGCTCAGCAAGGAGTCTGCTTCTCCCTCTGACCCTCTTCCCTCTCGTGCTCTCTATCTCTCATTCTCTGTCTCTCAAATAAATAAACAAAATCTTTTAAAAAAAAATAAAGCAATAGAAGCAACACTATTCTTAAGGCGATTTTAGAATTTTTTTAAGAGTATATTCCCAAAAAGAAGCAAGGAGAAGTAAATAAGATGAATAACAGAAACTCAGTTCCAGAGCATGGCACTGAGAACGAAAGTTCAGGAATCAAGGTTGAACTAATGGCTGACTGACTTCTTAGCTGATAAACCAAGGTTGTAGTCTTTTTATCATTCTGTGAGCTTCAGGGTAATGACCCTATGGACAACTTACCTACGAGCTCTTACTTAAACTAAAACTTAAAAATTATCCCCAAATCAAAACCAGTACTTCTGCCATCCTACCACCCAGCCAAACCCAGATACGTCAATAAAGTTTCACCAGAATCTATGAAAAGACCAGCACTGTTTTAAAAAGATGAAGGTTGATTGATGTCTATGGCTGCCAGAGGGGAGGTGGTGGGGGGATGGGCAAAATAGGTGAAGGGGAGTGGGAGGTGCAGGCTTCCAGTTTACGGAATAAGTCACGGGGATGGAAGGCACAGCATAGCGGATGTCGTGAATGGTATTGTAACGGTGCTATATGGGGACAGAGGGCGGCCACACTTGTGGGGAGCACAGCAGAACGTACAGACTTGCTGAATCACCATGTTGTACACCTGAAACTAATGTAACATTGTGTGTCGACTAGACTTTTTGATATAAATAAATAAGCCAGCCAGCCAGCCAGCCCTGGGAATGAAAGGTACAGCACAAGGAATATAGTCAATAATACTGTAATAACTGTATATGGTGACAGATGGTAACTACACCTATCATGGTGAGCGTTTCGCAAAGTACAGGATTGTCAAATCACTATGTTGTACACCTGAAACTAATAATATTGTATGTCAACTATACTTCAATTAAAAATTTTTAAAAAGATGATTGATGTCTAAAATGTCTGTTAAATGTCGTAAGTAAATTAGCTCATGACAGAAACTAAAGTACATTCCTCATTACACTATAAATATCACTACTACTAGAGATTAGCCCCCACAGTGTATCCAGAGGCCCCTTGCTTTCACAATCCCTTTGGAAAAACCATTTACATAAATTTTATCTGAAGAGACTCCTGGAGGTGTAACAAAATGGGACCTGGCCAGTTGCTCAAACAAGAGACTCTGTGGAAAAGCTACGGTATGATCATAATAATGAAGACAAGAAGGAGGAGTGAGAGCAGGAAGAGGAGGAGAAGGAACAAGTCTAGAAAAACAGGACTGGCGGATGCTGTTCTCACTTTTTTTTTAAAAGATTTATTTAGAGAGAGAGAGTGCATGCAGGGGGTAGGGGCAGAGGGAGAAGGAGAGAGAGAATCTCCAGCAGACTCCCACTGAGTATGGAGCCCAACGCAGGGCTCCATCTCACGAACCTGAGATCATGACCTGAGCCGAAACCAAGAGTTGGATGCTCAACCAAGTGAGCCACCCGGGTGCGCCGCTATTCTCACTTTAAAGGCAATGGCAATATAAGGAAAATCATCATCACCTCAAAAGACCATACTCAGAATCACACCTTTCCTCACTTTCAATTTTACTTTCACAGTCTTCTTCCACTCCAAATTGAGCTAACACCTGACCCCTCCCTCAGCACTTCGCCACAGTCATGCCCAGTCATCACATTCTCAGCTGGTCCATGCCTCCGTCTCAGGTTGAAACTTCTAACTCTGCGGTTTGGCCCTGTTGAAGATTCCTGAGGAATCAAGCAGTTTCCCCTGAGTCCACTAGAACATAGTAAGCTTCACGGGAGCAGAAGCCTGTGTGGCTCCCTCACACTGTCTCAGAGCCCGGCAGAGCGCGCGGCCACCTAACAGAGACTAGGAAGAACACCAGCGGAACGAGCGGCCCTTCACTCAAGCCCCGACCCCCACACAGTCCTCTCCGTTATCTGACCTGCTGAGGGAATGTGCCCTTGAGAGGGGAAACTAGCCACAGAAGAAAAAATGTCACCCAAGACCATCTCTGGTAACAAAATAATTTTTAAAAATATATATGTATAGGGGCACCTGGGGGCCTCGGTCGGTTAAGCCTCCAACTCTTGATGTGGGCTCAGGTCATGATCTTGGGGTCCTGGGATTGAGCCCTGCCCTGGGCTTCATGCTCAGTGGGGGGTCTGCTTCACATTCTCTCTCTCCCTTTTGCTTTGCCCCTCCCCGTGCTCGTGCTCTCTCTCTTTAAAATAAATAAAATCTTTAAAAAATATATATATGTAATACAAATATATATTTACATTTCCCCCCTTTAAGCTATGTATTCTTTGTTTCATAAAGTACTTACGTAGGGGAGCCTGGCTGGCTCAGTTGGAAGAGCATGTGACTCTTGATCTCGGGGTCATGAGTTCAAGCCCCACATTGGGGGTAGAGATTACTAAAAAAAAAATAAATGAATTTAAAAATAAAAAATAAAACTAAAGTACTTACCTAAACCACTGAATGTTGGTATAAGGCATGGACTCCAAAATATAATCCCATCTAGATGCCCACTTGATGCTTTTGTTTTCCTAAAAAACAAAAATATACAATTATATGACCAAACTTTCACTGACCTTTTGCTGGTTATAATCCTAAGACAAACAGAAAGTTATTCAGCATGTACTTTCTCCATCTCGTCACTACTGACTTCATGGAATAATGAGATGTACCCTGGCATTTTTATCTTATTTTTATTAACTGATATTCTTCTTCATATCAGAAAGGGACTAGAAAGAAAGTAATTTTAGCCTGCTGCTGTTCACCAGAAGTAGCAACCTTTTTTAAAAACAGACCATCTAGGGGCACCTGGGTGGCTCAGTCAATTAAGCTTCTGACTTCGGCTCAGGTCATGATCTCAGGGTCCTGGGACTGAGCCCCGAGTTGGGCTCCACACTCAGCAGGGAGTCTGCTTGTCCCTCTGCCCCTCCTCCTACTTGTGCATTCTCTCTCTCTCTCTCAAATAAATAAAAATTAAACAATAAAACAGACTATCTGCTTGCTTAATCTCTACACCCAACGTGGGGCTCAAATTCACAATCCCGAGATGAAGAGTCCCATGCTCTTCCGACTGAGCCAACCAGGCACCCCTACATTTTTATACGTTAAGTATTTTGAGATGTAGTAGCAACAAGTTTATAAAAGATGTTCTGTTTTCAAATATTGTAATTTTCAATACTGAATAAACCACAAGAAAATACAATTACCAATCAAGCTGTTCCTGTTGATGTGTGATCAAACTCAAACTGTCAGCAGCTTTCTCACAAAATATCCCCAGTAGATGAAGATCTTAAGTGGTAACCCCCAATAAACTTACACCATTAATTCAGAGTAATCACCCCTCAAATCAATAACATGCTCTTAGCAAAAGGAAAATGCTGGTACAAATTGACCAAGTAATGTTTGAAATGACTTATTTATATATATTTAAATGTTTTATTTATTCATGAGAGTCAGAGAGAGAGAGAGAGGCAGAGGCAGAGGGAGAAGCAGGCTCCCCGCCTAGCAGGGAGCCCGATGCAGGACTCAATCCCAGGACCCTGGGATCATGACCCAAGCCGAAGGCAGACGCTTAACCATGTGAGCCACCCAGGCGCCCCTGAAATGACTTATTTAAAACTGAGTGTTTGTAAGACAAAATCAGAGGGAGACAAACCATAAGAGACTCAACTCTAGGAAACAAACTGAGGGTTGCTGCAGGGGAGGAGGGTTCAGGGGCGGGCTAACTGGGTGATAGACATTAAGGAGGGCACGTGATGTAATGAGCACTGGGTGTTATACAAGACTGATGAATCACTGACCTCTACCTCCGAAACCAATAATATATGTTAATTAACTGAATTTAAATTTAAAAATAAAATAAAAGTGGGTGTTTGTTAGGTGTTTTTTCTGAAGTTTAGAGTTGGAGTATGGAGAGACTCAGTGTGCGCTTTTTTTTTTTTTTTAACAAGTAGGCTTCACGTCCAACGTGGGGCTTGAACTCACGACCCTGAGATCAAGAATTGCACGCTCTACGGACTGAGCCAGCCAGGTGCCCCTAATATGTACTGTTTTAAAAAACAAAAACCCAAGGAGCACCTGGATGGTTCAGTTGGTAGAACATGCATGCGACTCTTGATCTCAGGGTTGTGAGTTCGAGCCCCACATTGGGTGTGGAGCCTACCTAAAAAAATAAAAATTTTAAAAATCCAAAGGGCAGATTTTAATTGGGTTTTATTTATTTGAGAGAGAGAGAAAGAGAGAGTGCACGAGAGGGGGTAGGGTCAGAGGGAGAAGCAGACTCCCCACAGAGCAGGGAGCCAGATGTGGGACTCGATCCCGGGACTCCAGGATCATGACCTGAGCCAAAGGCAGTCGCTTAACCAACTGAGCCACCCAGGTGCCCCTTTAATTGGGTTTTAATTCAACGGTTGATTTTAGCTAAAACCTGATGACTAGGAGATCGTGGTTAACATCACCAGTGACAAAGCAGGTTGACATCACATGCCTCCTAACGTGCAGTATCACTTCCACTGTATAATCTCTGCCTAGAGCGTATGGCCTGAGCCTGCTCATAAAGAACCATCAGACCCAGATTAATAGTCATCCTGCAGATTGTAAAGTCCTTACTCTATAAAAATTTCAAGGCTGTGGAAGACAGAGAAAGAAAAACCAGTCTGGATTGGAGATCACAAACTAAACAACACATACTCCTGGATAGGATCTCAAACCACGAAGGGAAAAAGTGACACTGTTGGCCAGCTGGCAACATTTGAATGGATAGATGTGGACCAGATGGTAATGTGATACCAATGCAGATTCCTGATTTGGAGGAATCACTATGCTAGTGATAATGCTATGCTAGTAGGAAAGTGATCTTGTTTGGGGGAAAGACTCCGGAGTGTTTAGGGGTGATGGAACACCTAGCTCTCCAAAGATTCAGAGAAAGACTAAGGCTAATGGACACACAGATAAGGGTGAACAATGCAGCAAAGGAGTAAAATAGTAACAATTGGGGCGTCTGATTAAAGAGACTATGGGGGTTCTTTGTAGCGTTCTGGCAATCTTTCTGTAGTCTGAAACTGTTTTGAAATAAATTATTATTTAAAACCTATAAGGAGGAGCGCCTGGGTGGCTCAGTGGGTTAAGCGTCTGCCTTCGGCTCATGTCATGATCCCAGGGTCCTAGGATCGAGTTCTGCGTCGGGCTCCCTGCTCAGCGGGGGACCTACTTCTCCCTCTCCCTCTGCCTACTGTTCCCCCTGCTTGTGCTTTCTCTCTCTCAAATGAATAAAATCAAGAAAATAAAAATTAAAAAAAATAAAACCTATAAGGAAATCAGAATTTATAGACAAATCAAGGGATAAATATTCATTGCATAAAAGCATGTATCTTAGCCATTCTATTAAAATATTGTTTCAATAGTAAAATGTGACTTAATTTGTAAAAATTTGAATTACGGGCATCTTCTTCACCAGCCTATCCATTGCCTTAAGCAAGTTAAGTCATATCAAGTCTTTCAAAACGGAGAGATACTTTCAAATATGCGCCATGAAGTTTGGATTTTTAAATACAAAGAGAGCCTAGAAAAATCTGTTGTTAAACCTAATGGTTTTTGCACCAAACATTGCCATCTGCTGGAAATAACAGACTATAACACATATTACTCTTCCCTAAGAAAATAAGAAACTATTTAAAAATCCTAAGGCACATTTGAGAACAAAATGACAAATGCAGACAGATAAGTGGTGGAACCTATTTCCTTAATCCACTGAAAACTAATGAGTTATTCTGCTTCTTTCCATGCCAGCGTTTCAAAGTCTTTTCTAAGACACAGCAATTCTCCTACAACAAGTCCTTAATTTTGTTTACACTGGAGGCACAAGAAGCAAAGGTAGAAACACACACAGGACTTCTTGAGTCCTGACACAGTATCCCACGATGGATCTCACTCAATAAATACTCTGGAAGGGGCTCCAAGAATCAACTGGGCAGACAACGAGGGCTTCTTCTAGTCCAGATGTTTTCAACACGGGGAGCAGCGCCCCCTAGGGGGCAGAATGAAAACGTGTAGGGATGCTTCTGGTGTTCGCAGCATAGCACGCCGGACTTCTACAGCGCACTGGGAGACCAACCAACACAACAAGGAACTGAGAAAAACTTCCAAATGCGCCATCCAATATGGTGTGAGGGAAAGACTGCTTATGATTATGATCTGTGGGGCGCCTGGGTGGCTCAGTAGGTTAAGTGTCTGCCTTCGGTTCAGGTCATGATCTCAGGGTCCTGGAATCAAGTTCTCCATCGGGCTCTCCGCTCAGTGGGGAGCCTGCTTCTCCCTCTGCCTCTGCCTCTCCCCCCTGCTCCTGTGCGCGCTCTCTCTCTCTCTCTGTCTCAAATAAATATTTAAAAATAAATAAAAATTTTTAAATTTTAAAAATGATTATGGTCCGTGCCTAGATTCTAATTCCATTTTACAAATAAAGTATTTTTACAGGTTTTTAATAACACTGACTTTTGGGGGGACTGCAACTACCATGTAAATTTAGGGAAAACAGTACTATGTTCGGTTTGAAACTTTTTTTTCTTTTTATTTGACAGAACGAGCACACAAGCAGGGAGACCGGCAGGCAGAAGGAGAGGGAGAAGCAGGCTCCCCGCTGAGCAGGGAGCCCGAGGAGCCCAATGCGGGACTCGATCCCAGGACCCTGAGATCGTAACCTGAGCCGAAGGCAGACGCTTAACCGACTGAGCCAGCCAGGTGCCCCTGGTTTGAAACTTTACCAAAATTGATCAACATTTCAGAAAATCGGGTGCCTGGGTGGCTCAATCGTTAAGCATCTGCCTTCGGCTCAGGTCATGATCCCAGGGTCCTGGGATCGAGCCCCGCATCGGGCTCCCTGCTCCGCGGGAAGCCTGCTTCTCCCTCTCCTACTCCCCGTGCTTGTGTTCCCTCTCTCGCTGTCTCTCTGTCAAATAAATAAAATCTTAAAAAAAATTTTTCAGAAAATCATGCCATCATTTGGAAATATGGGGTACTTGAGCTACCTATGTACAATATTCTCATCTTCGTCTGCATCCACAGCTGTCACATTTACAGTGATTATACACAATGGTGCATGCATCTGACAGGGGCTGAAATATATACTGAACTACATGTTATTTTATTAAAAGTTATTTTCTTTTTATTTTATATTACAGTTAGGGTGTTATACTGATGTTTATTGAAACTACATGTATAGACAGTTTCAATCATCTAGTAGCTATAAATGTGAATTCACAGTAAAGGGAGGCTGCAAAAACATTTGATATTAAAATAGGACATCAGGGGAGCCTAGGTGGCTCAGTCGGTTGAGCGTGTCTGACTCTTGGTTTCAGCTCAGGTCATGATCTCAGGGTTGTGGAACTGAGCCCCCACCTGGGGCTCCGAGCTCAGCGCAGAGTCTACTTGCCCCTCTCCCCCCCCCCCCCCCCCCACACACGCACACACATGCTGTCTCTCTCTCAAATAAATAAAATCTTTTAAATAAATAAATGAGGACATCAATGTGATAGGG